AGCATGCACAGCCTGCACCAGGCTCTCGTATCCTTCCTCATCTCTTTTCTCCCTTTCATCCTCTTTTCCTCCTTTCCTCGCTCCTTATCCATTGACATCTCATTGATCAGATCTTGACTGATCTCGTTAGCAACTTGGATCGTTTAGGTCTGACAGATGGATAATGGAGACAGTATCTTCCTATGCCATTCCTCTCCTTGTCAGAGACACTGCCAGGAACGCCGATGAGCAGGCAGAGGAGGAGCCTGCCTGCATTGGCATGGGGGCAGTTCTGTCATCTGAGGGAAACTGCCTCATAAAACGACCCCTAACCCCTGCAGCTGACTGATGTATGAATTACTACTATTAGCTATTCATTCTAGCGGCCAAAAGCCCAGACTGTGCCCTCTGAGAGTGAACTATATTTAACAAGGGCACGGAGACTCATTAACCATATCAGTGATCTACTCTTCATCGTGAATTCATTCATTCTACATATGTCAAACACCTAATATGCGCCAGGAGTTATTTCTAGGCAGTTAAAAACTAGTAGTGAACAAAGTGGACAAAAATCTCTGCCTTCTGGGACACCACATTGTGGTGGAGGGAGACAGAAAATAAGCATGATAGATAGGCAAGTTACAGAGTTAGTTAGAAGGAGGTACGTGTTGAAAATAAGACCCCACAAAACCCCAACCCCAAATCCCAACCTACCAATAATGTAGGGTAGGTGGGCTTGGGAGTACTGGGGTGGGGGACAAGAATGGGGCAGGGAGCTTGGCTGTCACTTTATTTTGTTATTTTTCAATGACAGGTGACATTTAGTATTATATCAGTTTCAGGTGTTCAGGTGGTTAGACATTTATATACACCTTACAAAGCGATTCCCCCGACTAGTCTTGTACCCACCTGACTTAGAGGTCATTGTAAAGGGGGTCATCACAGTGGGCCTCCTTGCGGAGTTACTATTTGATCAGAGGGTTAGAAGAGGTGGGAGAGTTAGCTTTGCAGACATGGGAGGAAGAGTGGTCCAGATGGAGAAGCAGCTGGAGCAATACCCTCAGACGGAGCAGCCGGCTCATTCCAAAGCACAGCAAGGAGGCCATGTGGCTGGAATGGAAGGAGAAAGGGGGGAGCAGTAGTCATGGAGAAGAGTGATTGAGGGGGGCGGGTCACATCATGTGGGGTCTCTTTAAGGGCTTTGGCTTTAACCTTGATTGCAATGGGGAGCTGGTACAGGGCTCTGAACAGGGGAGGCGGTGACCTGGTGTGTTGGGGCTGGACTGCAGACCGGAGGCCGCCGGAGAAGTCTGGCAGAGAGGCTCAGCTGGGAGGGTAGCCGTGGTGCCAGCTGCCTTTGGAAGGGGAGCCAGCAGAATTGCCCGATGGGTTGATGTGGGGGCGAGGGAGTCAGGAGTCAAGGATGACTTGGCAGCCGCTTTCCTGAGGGGTCCGTTACCATGAGCCAAGGCTCAGGGGGCACGGAGTGCTGAGAGTTCCAGTGCAGCACAGGGGGAGGCAGGGAGAGAGCCGAGGGGAGGCTGCAGTGTTGGAGCCACGTCCCTGCCTCCCCTGTAGCCCTGGCTGGGTTCCAGCCCAGCTTCTGGCTCTGCTTTAGGCTTCTTGTGTCCGGACAAATTGGGCTCTGAAGTTCAAAGCCTGTGCCAGGCCCTGCAGTCCTGGGGGCACTCGATCTACAGGAGGAAGAGGGTTCCGTGTCCCTAAGGAGCATGGCTGGCCGCCCGGGCTGCTCCTGGGCACGGCAGAAGTAATGTCCTGTTCCCTGTTCCGGGCTTGGCAGCAGCGCGTGGGAGGCCCAAGCAGAACAATTGCTGTTTCCCTCCTGCAAAGCCGGGCCGCTCCCTGGACTTGCCCCGGCCTGTGGTGTCTGAGCCTCGAAAGGCTTGTTTACCTGGCTCCAGCCTCCCAACAGGGGCGTCGGAGGGGACGGAAAGGGGAGGCCCACTGCCCGCCTGGCCCACCTGGGCTGAGCTTCTGGGATTGCCACACGGCAATTCTGCTGAGCTAACTGTCAATGAGCAGTTGTCACATCCTTCTTCCTGATGGTGGGCAGAGGCCAGGCAGCTCCAGGAGCAGGGAGCTTCCTGGAATTGGAGGAGAGGAGAGGAAGAAGCCAGGCAGGTGGCCTCAGCACCGTGGTGTCAGCAACTCTGGGAACCCCATGAGGGTCTCTGTGCTTTGTCGGGCCCACGAGGGAGGCTGTTTGTACCGTCTCTGGCGTGTTGGGCTAAGCCAGGTTTCATTGGAATGCTTGTATGGCTCAAGGCGCTAACATTTATTGGAATGTCCATTATGCATCTAAGCAACTCACTACCCACTGGCTGATGTTTCCTCCTGCCCACCTAGATGTCTTGGGCTGGATTAGAAACTGAGGGTTAAAGTGCCCAGCTCAACCCACGAAATGCTGCGATTTCTCCTAAAGGGTTCTCAAACCGATTCCTTGGACAGAACCCTCCATGGTGGAGAGAGCTTCCTGCTCGGGAGAGACTGACTGGACAGGATTCCAAGTGACGAGTCCCCTTTAAATAGAAACTTGGAGGCAGTACTGTGCCCGAACAAGGCCAGTGCAGGCTCTCAGGGCCAAGCTGTGCACTGGTGACCTTCCAGAAGTCTAAAGCCCTCCGATGCTAACCTGGGGGGGGAAGGGTGTTCTCTTGACCTGGCCTAGTATGCCATGTACAGTGGCTCGGCCCCTGTGGCCCTGAGCCAGGAGCCGGCCCAGGGTCCCACAAAGGAAGCTGTGTTCCCCAGCCTGGCGAGGGGCCAGGGCCAGTCGGTCCAGTTAGGCTTCAGCCTTGGCCTCCACCACTTGTGGCCGGGCCTGTTTTCTGGCCCTCAGGCTGGCATTCCTGCCCAGCAGGGAGAGGCCAGGAAACCAGCCCTCATCCGAGGCTGTGGGCAGTGACTCACAGGTAGTTACCTGCCTTAGGGCTCCCTGCCAGCCCAGGGAGGGAGCCGGAGGGGAGGCATTTAGAGCTTAGTCCTACTCATGCCTCTTAAGCTTCCTTCGTGTGAGCTGGGCCTGGACCCCTTCCTGATGAGCTGGGGCCTTTTAAGGCTCTCCCGAATTCCCCAAGAAGCAAGGGATTTTCCACCGTTTCTGTTCTCCGTGGGGGAAGGGGAGGAGCTGGTGCTTTCCGGGATCCTGGGGGTTTGGGTCTCCTCACCCCCCAGCCTGGGCCAGGTCTGGGCTGTAACACCCCGTCTCTAAGCCCTGATCTTGCGTCCTCTGCTTGGTCTCCTGCCCAGGTGGTCTAGGACACGAGAGGAAGCTGACCCCTCCAAGCACAGTGCCTGCCACAGATGCCCCCCGAATCCTGGCTGGAATGACCCTGAATATTTGCCCGGTGCTTTCAGTTTGCAGTGCTCCCATCCAGTCCCCCCACCTCCCCAAGGCACCCACAGGCAGGCGGGCACTGCCAGGCTGCTGCGAGGCCTCTGGGACCGACCCACTTGCCCAGTCCTGTCCTGGGGCTGCGGGGCTGTGGGGCTGCAGTGACGGTGGATGGGCGTGCCAGCTGCCAGATTCCTGAGGCCCGCCCTGCAGTGGGCTACGCCCAGCCTGGGAGTCTCCAGAGGTGAGGCGCTGTTTAAAAACTGGGAGCCAGGAGCAGAGACCCCCACACGCGAGGGGCGTTCTCGGAGAAGCGATCTGGAGAAAGGACAGTGGCAGCAGGGAGCCAGGTATGTTTCCCGCCCTCGCCTGCCCGGTGGGGGCGGGCGGGTGGGGAGGAGGGCTCTGCTCTGGGCCTCTGGGGCCTGGCTGCAGGGCCCTATTCTTTCTCTTCCTGCCGCCTCACCTGAACCAGCCACCTGCAAAGGCTCCATTGAATGTCTGCCTCTGTTTGCATTGCCTTTTCACATCTGATAAGCAGAAAGCAAGTTCAGATCGGGGCCTGAGCACAAAGAGGAGCAGGAAGGGTGGGCTGGCGGGGCCAGGGCTCTTCTGAGGCCACTCCCAATGCCTTGTTCTGGGAGTGAGGGGCAGAGGCAGCTCTGGGGCTAACCCAGAAGGTGGGTCTCCCTCTTGGGCCACGATTAGCTGTATGACCTCAGGTCACCTGTCTCCTCCCTGGGCCCCTGACGCTTCTGGGAACTGATTGGAAGGAAGGAGTCCAAAGCATTAGGATGTATAATTTAAAAGATGCCAGCAGAGCCCCAGTTCCCTCTCTGGCCCTGCCTTGCCAACCTCCTTCCCCCAGCCAACGGAGCTGTGGCTGACAGGAGCAGAGTGAGCATCCAAGGCCCAGGCAGAGGCGGGTTCTGCTGCATAAGCTGCGCAGGCCTGCCTGCTCCAGGACCCTTCTAGCATCCATCCCTGGCCTCCTTCAGTCCCTACTCTGAGGACTCTAACCCTCCCCTTCCCACACAGCCCTGGCCCATCATTAGAGACATTTGGGATTGCTTCCGGTTTAAATAAAATCCTCTAGCCCCCCCCCCCTCCCCCCATCACATTCCAGCTAACTGCCACAGCCTGACCCTCGAGGTGGCCCTCAGTGGTATGAAGGCCATGCCCATGGAAGGACAGGGCTCCCTCCAGACTTTCAGCCAGTCTGACCCACTCGCCTTTGGACCCGTGGGCTGGGCTCTGAGAAAGCCAGTCCTCTTTCTTGGGCAGCAACAAGGCCTCAGACCTCTCTGCAAAGGGCTCAGGGTTTATTGCTCCCCTTGTCCTTATGACTACCTGGGGCAGGGCCTCCCATTGCAGAGGAGGAAGCTGGAGTCCGGGAGGGGATGGCATTCCCCCAGGGCACCCCATGAGTCATATGCCAGCTGGGACAGCCATCTGGGGCTCTGGCATTTTCCAAGCTTTTGGCTCCAGATGTACCTGCTGCCCAGAGGTGTCCTAGGTCAAGACCCGAGGGGAAGACTTCTGAAAAAACATGAGCCCAGAAACAGAAAGGGGGCTAGTGTGCCCTAGCGGTTTGCATGGCTTTACCCAGGCTGCTTTGCTCTGCCTCAGGTGAAGTCCTCTCTGGGGATCACCCCATTGGCTGAAGATGAGGTCAATCCTTCTCCTGTGGTTCAGTAAGTATCCCTTCCCATCCTCTGGGATATGTCATATGGCAGAGCAGGGTGGTGACAGCTATGGGTGGAAGGACAGATAACCACAATGTGAGCATAACCCGTAGCACTTGTCTATTTGGGACAACCATGAGGTTTCTCTGCACCTTCAGGCCTTCGGGAAGATGATTTGCTGCCTCTCTTGAGGTGTCTTCCTAGTCCCACCTGGGGGTGGTTTCTGCTCCCCAACTTCCCTGCACCGTCTCTTTCCCACCCTCTCACTCCCAGGCTGGCTTCAGTCCCATCATGGCTCGAGTTCTGGAATTTCCAGTGAATTGGAGCGAGGCACTCACAAAATGCGGGGCAGCTTTGCAGATAAGGGGGCAGCAAGAATGCAGGCGCCTCCCAGTGCCCCACAAGTGGCCAGCAGCCTGCCCTCCTCCAGGCTGTTGACAGCGAGGAGAGATGTGGACTGGGTCCTGGTGGCCAAGCGTGTGTCTGAAGCATGACGTGAAAGCTACATGCCAGGGCCATCCATGGATGTTGGCTGCCTGTCTTTCCCTTTTTTTTTTCCCCCCTTTTTTAAGTTGGGGTTACAGAACATGAAATCAGCTTTTTTGCCTAATAGCACCAGGATTATAATAATTACCTTCACCAGCGAGTGTGAGCGGAGAGAAGGAGAGGGTCTAGTCTTGTCTATGTCTGCTTTCCCTAGGGACGTGGGGGTGGCTGTCTAGATCCGTGGTCGGCAAACTGCGGCTCTCGAGCCACATGCAGCTCTTTGGCAATCTTGAGTGTGGCTCTTCCACAAAATACCATGGCCTGGGCGAGTCTGTTTGGAAGAAGTGGCGTTAGAAGAAGTTGAAGTTTAAAAATGTGGCTCTCCAAAGAAATCTCAATCGTTATACCATTGGTATTTGGCTCTGTGGACCAGTGAATTTGCCGACCAACTGGTCTAGACCCACCGCTCTTCAGGCTGAACCCCAGCACCCCTGTGATTTCAGTCTTGCCCAGCTTCCTGTGTACCCAGCGAGCCTGCTCCCGTGGGGCCTGCTACCCTCCCGTCGGGGACCTGCTCATCGGGAGAACCCGCCATCTCCGAGCTTCATCCACCTGCGGACTGACCAGGCCTGAAACCTACTGCACGCAGTATGGCGAGGTAGGCCCGAGCGCCACGGCCTCTGGCGCTGGAGGAAGGAGCGGTGGGTGGGGTGCGAAGCCTGCCATTGTTCACTGAACATATACAGTGAACTTGGTATAGGCCCAGCCCCATGCACTATGGGAGATAAGTTGGGGGAAGGGTGCAAGAAAGTATAAGGCTGGGCCAAAACCGGTTTGGCTCAGTAGATAGAGCCTCAATCTGCGGACTGAAGGGTCCCAGGTTCAATTCCGGTCAAGGTCATGTATCTTGGTTGCGGGTACATCCCCAGTGGGGGGTGTGCAGGAGGCAGCTGATCGATGTTTCTCTCTCATCGATGTTTCTAACTATTTCTCTCTCCCTTCCTCTCTGTAAAAAAATCAATAAAATATATTTTAAAAAAATAAAAAAATAAAAATAAAGGAAGTTTAAGGGCGGGCAAGAGAAAAGGTACTCAGAAGTAGCTGAATAGCTCTTTTCTCTCTTCTGCTCCATAAAACTGGAGCCCGGGCAGGACCGTTATTCCTCAGCCCCTGGCATGGGCAGGGCAGTCATTTAAGTCTTGGGGATAGGAGATCAGACAAGTAGAGATGCTTTATCTGTAGGCTCTGATGTGCCATGGTTGGTGGGCAAAGTCAAAGCCAGTGGAACACAGGCGCTGGGATGTGGGCTTGTGTCTTGCCAGGGCGTGAACTGGGTGGCACCACGGTCACTCTATGGCCAGCATCTCTTTGGCCAGCATTGGAGGATGGCCGTGGACAGAGCTAGCGGGAGAATAGATGGCTGTAGGCTGGAGCTTACCTCTTATGCTTTATAGTTCTCACGCATGAAGATCCAACTTCCTTACCTCTCAGCCTCCTTGGTCCAAATGCTTTGTTCCCCGAGGCAGAGAGGGAAGCATTCAAACTTTTGTTGAGGGCCGAAACCGGTTTGGCTCAGTGGTAGAGCGTCGGTCTGCGGACTGAAAGATCCCAGGTTCGATTCCGGTCAGGGGCATGTACATTGGTTGCGGGCACATCCCCGGTAGGGGGTGTGCAATAGGCAGCTGGTCGGTGTTTCTCTCTCATGGACGTTACTAGTTCTCTATCTCTCTCTCCTCCTCTCTGTAAAAAATCAATAAAAAAAATATACATACACACACACACATATACACACACACACACATACACAAACTGTTGTTGAGGGACATAGATCAGTGAAATAAATGAGGAAGTGATGGGAGGTTAGCAAGGAGGTGCAGGGGCTCAGTGGATCAGTCAGGAAACGAGCTGAGCGAATCCAGGAGCGCCAACTCTTCAAGCTACGCCAGTTAACATCGCCTGTAAGGCAACGGATTTGTTCAAAGAGCAGTTGTGAGTTTTCTTCTAGACTCTTCTTCTATATTGCCTCTGGAGCTTTTTTTTTTTTTTTTTTTTTTTTTTTGTCGGAACTTCAAAAAGGACGGGGGCCCTTCTTTGCTTTCATGTTCACGAAGGTTGAATCACTCAGTGTTTTCTTATTTCCCAGCGGCTTATCTCATTGGACCATTTTTTTCTGCCCTCAAAATACAGGTTTGGATGAAGGAGTGGGTGAGGGTGTGGTTTGCCGTAAGTCTCTGCAGCCTTTTGGGGGAGTGGGGAAGAGAGAGACAGAAAGAGAAAGGGAGTGAGACAGATCGATTGTCGGGAAGGAGACTGTGTTATTGAGGGTTTCCTCTTTCCAGAATGTTCTTGTCCTCAGGACCCTGGCACTGTATCTGATACTGCATTGGGCCTCACTGCCCTTCTAGTCCCTAGTGTTCTTTTGGCAACGTTAAAATCACAGATGGTATTGAGTTGTCCTTTGCATGTGCTGAGCAGAGACGGCTGTGGTTTCTGCATCTCACCCACTTGGACATGGGAAGACCGTCTGACAGTGTTGGGTAAGATGGCCAGCATCAGGCGAGGCCTCCCTGTAGGCCCAGATTACTCCACAAGCATCCGGGGACCTGGCCGTATTGAGCCTTCTGGGCAATAGAACGGTTGTAGCTGTCCCTTCTCTCACCCTCTCAAAATCCTGTGCCATTGAGCCATATCTAGAAATTTCAGGGAGACCTCTGCCTCCCTTCCTTAGGCTGATCCATCTCTGGGAGAGGAAGCAAGGAGAGAGGTCAGAGGCCACAGTGCTGGGCCGTCCCCTCCGCCCTGGGCCTGTGTGGACAGCCTCTCTCCCTCTGGGCCTGGGGCTTTGGCTTCACCCTGGCTCACCTTCTGAGTCTCGTGGATGCCCCAGGAAGCCAACTGCATTCCCTGCTTTTAAGTCGCCCCTTGAGAGCGGAACAGGGTGCTTGCAAAAGAGACGTCTAGACTTACAACCCTGGGATTGATAAAGCTCGGCTGTTTTGTAGCTGTGACTGTTGAGAAACATTGGCCCTTTTTCTTTTTCTCGAAGGGGAGTAGATCTGTGGGCCCTCTTGGAAAGAGTAGCGGGCAGGGCCTCTTGAGTGCAGAGTGCAACCCCAGGTCTGCCCCTCACCTGTGATGTGATCAGATGCTACCCCTCTCCCAGTCTCAGTTTTCTCTTCCGAAAATGAGTATCAGATGAGATGAAATGGTCTTCAGGGCTGTTCCTTGCCCCAGCCCTCTTTGGGAATGAGCTAACGTCTAACCAGCTTCTCTCCCACCTGCTCTCTGTCTTATCTGATTTTGCCTCCCCTCTCCCTTTCCAGCCTAATCTTCCAGAGGCCACTGGTTGCCAGTGGTGAACCCACACACTGAAGAACCCTTCCTACAATGTGCCCCAAGTCCTCACCGGGTGCAGAGGTGGCTGGGTGATGAAAATTAGAAATCCCCCGGCTGAGTTCCAAGTTCAGTTTTTAAGTTTATTTTATTAGTAGATATTATAGCAGTTATAGTTTATTAAGCACATGCTATTCATCCCAGACATCATACTAAGAGGCTTATCTAAATGATCTCAGTTAATTTCTCACAATACTCCATGAGGTGGGTCTTGTGATCCCCATGAGCTCCTGGGAGGGGGTGTGCCAGGACCCCAAACTTCTGATGGAAACACATCAGGGTTGAGTTTTCTGAGCAGCCCCAGCTGGAAAGAGGGTGGCATGATACAGAGATGCATTGCTAGTGCCCCTCCTCTCCCCCATCCCCTGTCCCCTCTCTACCAGCCCCCACTCCCAGACACACACTTTCCTTAAGTCAAAGCCTCTGGTTAGTGCCTCTGTCCTATTTCCATCCAGGGGTGACATTGTGAGCCCTGAGCTCAGTACAAGATCACCCAGCACCCGCTGCCTGCCCACTGCCCTGGCATGGATGCAAGTCCGTGCCATGGGGATTTATGACCTTGGACATTTCTGCAATGCTCACTCCCCACCCCCAGCCGCATGGGGACTCAGTGGAATAGGCGTTGCAGAAGCTGGTGGGACCCTTTCCAGTTCCAAAATTGCCTGTCCCAGCTCTAAATATCAGAGTGTGTCTCTTTCTTTGTGGGCCATTTTAGCCTATTGGCATACTACCTCTGCCCAATTTTATCTCAGAGGCTAAATCCTACTGGCTTCGGGGGCTAGTTTTGGTGGCACTCCTCCCCACCCACTTCCAGGCTGGCTATCTTCACTACCCATGAGCTGTCTGGGCTGGACCCGGGCAGTTTTTTACCTAAGTGGCCTGTGGCTGCAGTACCATCCTGTCCCCTTGTTCTCTTTTTTCCAGCTTCTAGATAACACTGCACCATTGTCCCCCGAAGCTCAAGCATGAATGAAAAGGTCTATGACTATCCCTAGTCTTCGTTCTCTTCTGTGTTTTCCTGGAGCCTCATTTCCTCATTTGAAAAAAATGAGAGTAAGGACAGTGTCCACTTCAGTGAGTTGTAAGAACTGTGTAAAAGAGCCACCTGGTCACTGGCATGGTGCCTGGAAGATGCTAAATGTTTTATCTCATTTCCCACCCACCTCTGGGACCTGTGTCTACACGCAGAGACCACCCCGTCTGTGAATCACACTCCTGAGCATTTCTTCCCTGATCAGGATAGATATTCGCATGTTTGTGGAAATGAATCCATCCTTGGGCCATCTACTCTCTGCCGCCAAGGTGACTGCCACCGATCTGATTTGCAATGGGTGTTAGAGGATCTATAGGAATTCATGGTCAGCGAAGTCGCTGCCTGGTTCTGGCTGTCGCTCTGGTCCTGGCTCTGACACTTAGAATAGAAATGTGACCTTACAAAGGTCGTGGCTCATCTCTAGACCCACTTAAGAAGTGAAAGAGTTGGGTTAGACAACCTTTACATTAGCTCAGCTTTAATATCTCCACCGGCTTCTTGGAGTTGGCTGGTGTGTCTGTGTGTGACCTTGAGGGTCTGCCGTGTTCTTTGTCAGGTGAGCACTGGCAGGGCCTGAGCCATGCCCTTTTGTCGTCTCTGGGCTGGTGCATGCTCCTCAGGAGCCAGTGGGCTTCACCTGGAAGCTCTCCAGCCCCATTTCTGCCCCTGACAGTGTCTCCTCCAATGCTGTGTCTGCTCCCCCAGATGCTTTATTTATCCCACAGTCCCTCCTTGGTGGGGGAAAACTTAATTACCCAGCTGCCTTAATAACAGTCTTATGCAGTGCATTCCTCAGGTTAATTAGCTATGTACACCAAACAGCTGTCTTTTTTTTTTTCCCCCTCACCTGAAGATATTTTCCCATTGATTTTTAGAAAGAGTGGAAGGGAGGAGGAGAGACAGCGAGAGGAAAACATTGATGTGCCCTTGACTGGAATTGAACCTGGGGCCCTTCAATTCTGTGGGCTGATGCTCTACCCACTGAGCCAAACCAGCCAGGGCCAGCCGTCATTTTTATTACTTGGAAGCAAGCAGAGGGAACAGTAGCCAGTTGACATCCTTTCCTCCCCAACATACACACATGCATGTGAGTGCACCCACACCCACATACATGCACACACCCAACAACACTGTCTTTATTGTTTTCTTGACCTTTGTCATGGCGAATGTGTAGACAGAGGATGGTGTTCATGTAAGTCTTGAGAGCCCCATTCTCTTTGCTTTCAGAGGAC